TAGGGAAGAGGCTCAGATCTATTGAGTGGCTAAAGTTTCCAATACAAGCCTAGAAAACTTCGGTTAATTCATTGACTATCTGATTCCTCACTGGAAGACAGGTACTATATTTTCTACTTCAAAATAAAAGATGTAATACAACTTGCCTGAGCAAATACTGAGCTCTACTGCTTGCCAAGCACCATACAAATTTTCTTAACACCAAGTCTTCAAAAACATTAAGGATAGAATTACTTTCTATTTCCTCCCAAATCAACTTACTGCGCGTTGTGCTAAAGACATAGCATCCCATATTATAATCCCAGCAGGACCCAGAGCAACAATTTCACCAATTGTATTCACAAGGTCCACCTGGCAAAGATGATAGAAAGAGTTAGCAAGGAGGGATAAATGGAAGCATTTACACAGGACAACAACAACAAACTAAGCATGCTGACCCAACAGTAACACTTAAAATATTTCTACATTCTTTAAATCTTTTTACTATGCCATTTCTTTACTATTGAAAAATAGGCTATTGTTGTCATTACTTATTCTGGAAATATCCACAGAATAAAAATAAAACAGTTAAAATATTGTCTATATTTTATGATTCTCTGCCATGACTAACAAACAGGCCATATGATTACAATAAGCATTAAAAATGTAGCAATTTTATCTCTTTTGGAGAACATAAAACTAGCCCCGTGTATATGCTTAAGTTATATATGAAGCTTTAAAATTAACATTAATTTCCATAAACATTATGAACACTACTAGGTCAGAAATGCTATACACCATTTATTTACCTCCTGAAGGTATTCAGAAGTGTTATCAGTAAAAACAAGACGAATATAGACAAAAATCGGGACAGGATCTTTTTCACTTCGAACCTTGGACACTCTTACGGATTCCACTACTCGGTATCGGACATAGAGTGCAGCTTGTCGATTGGATCCCAAGTCTTTCTTCAAATACACAGAAGGGTAAAGGCCCGTGCTTTCTTTCCACATCCAGCTAAGAGCATCATTTCTTTGCTTTTCCACAGGAGGGCAGTTCCCATCGTATTTTGGGTCTTGAAACTTATTGTTGTAACAATCAGGAAACAGATAATAACCCCATAAGTGTCTTGGTCGAACTGATTTCCCCAGTTTTAAAGTCTCTTCCATGAAATGCCTTCCTGCCGTTTCAAATTCGTCCTTGGCTTTCTGTGTGGCATCTTCGATGCTAATCCCTGCATTATTTGCCTGGACCAAGGCGATAGACTTATTCCTGTAGACGTCCTTGGGTTTCCAGTTTCTCATCCAAGTGGGCCTCCATTCTTCCCAGTCAATGACAGCTAAGCCAAATTTGTCTACTGGAATATAATGCTCAATATCAGTCTTAGATTTGTCCAGATGATTTTTCAAATTCCCTAACTGAGGAATTCCTCCATGATGCTCTGCTAGCTT